AGGCCCTTTGCCTGAAGGTCATAGGAGAGCAAGAAACTGCATTGTTGAATACCAATGCTTGATACTTGTCCCGTTGTATACCTTTCAGTGCTCTACTACTTCCAGAGTACAAGCCTCTGAACAGTGGTTAAGTGATCAATTCTTCTATGTTTGCACTGAAATTCAATATTAACGAAAGGCGAAATAAGCCAACTTTAAATAAAGAAATATCTGACTAAAATTAAGTTTGACAAAGAAGTGCAATAAGAAATAAGGTTTCAGAACACAGTATCTACAAAAAAATGCTGTTTCATTTACCCTCTGGGACTGACTTAGAGACCATCCTGCAAGGTGGGCATTGCTGTGACCTAAGGAAGCGGTCTTCAGGCCTGCTGCCTAAGGAGTTCGTGATACCACAAGTATATCGAGGGAAGCAGAGTCCTTCACTTTCATGTCTCAGAAGGTAACACAGGGAAAGTAATTGTTTACATATATTTATCCTATAGCACACGTCAGAGTAATGTGTCCAAGTCTTGCAGTCATGTATCCATCTGTATGAAATTATTTAAAATTATCTTAGTTTTCCTTTAAAGTTTGATAGAAACATAGTGTCACTTGGCCATATATTACTCTTGAATCAGGCCACTGGAGGTTTAGGAAGTGTTTTCTCAGGACCCAGAATTAATCTTTCTCAACAAAAAAGGACATCAATGTCAGCAGGGCACCCTCTAGGGGCCACTGTGTAATTTTTGTACACTGTTCTGAAACTGATTTAATGTTAAAAACAAATGCCAAGTTAATAATTCTTAATTATTAATTACGCTTTGGCATGGTCCTGGAGGAGGTGACAAGGACAGTGCAGCAGGGAGCTGGTATGAGGCTAAAGGTGAGACAGTTGAGAGGGGATTGTCACTCCTGGCTGCCACCACGAGCAATTCCCTTTGGGTACTGGCATGACTAGGTTTAATGAAAGCACAGGGATGGGATGAGTATGGGTTGTGTCCACTATCCATGGCTGGATGGCATGTGGCTTTCTGGGATGACAGTGGCCAAAATGGCGTATGCACTGATCTCTTTCCTTCTCCCACATTCCCATGTAAATTTATCAGAAAACCCATGACCTTGTTTTCAGCTATGGCCTCCAAGAACGACGAAGGTATTTTAGCTCAGGAAACACACAGTAGAGTTCCAGGCTCTGGTAGGGATCAAATGTGCAATGTGTGATGTCATACACTGTGTTTTCTGATTCTGTGTTCTGTGGAGGGACTCCACATCTAAAATTCCATCAGCTCTCCAAAAGTTCCTCTCCCACACCCATACCTAAATGCCTCCATTTTTCTTGGTCAGCTTGTGCCACTTTGTCAGCACTGTGGTGCTGGTGAGATGCCAGTACAGGCCAAGACTGTAAAAGCTCACTGAGTCTCCACACTGTGGGGATGGCATCAAGGCCTTTGGTCGCAGGCCAGGGCAATGACCAAGGATGCTGCTGTGCCTCAGCATGTCCTCCGGAACCCTGGAGGAAAGCACCAAGTTCCTGGCTCTGTCACCTCAGTAAGTTGTGAAGTACGCAGTCTGGCTCTTCTTTTGCCATCTGGCAGATAATAAAGACACAGAGCAGAGTGCTGTGCTGGGGGCTGCCAGCCCTGGGGTCACCGTGCTGATGAGGGAAGGCAGGCACGGTCTGTTTTGCGTCTCTAGCACTTCAGAGACTTTCTGCTGGCTGACGAGCCTCCCGCTCCGGTGGCCTGTGTTTGCAGTAGAGGTGGCAGGGCTGCCGGCCTGCGGCAGGACCCACACGCTCCAAGCTGCCCGGACCACACCAGCTCCTGCGAACGCAGGCCTGGCGTTTGGCCCCAGCCTCCGGGTACGTCCCCCGGCTCCCTGCTGCCCGCCGCGGCTCGGGCTGCGGCCAGGCGGCTCGGAGGCGTTGGGGAGGGCCCCGCTACTCCGGGCCTCGGGGCCGGCCGCGCCCCGCCGCCCGCCTGAGCGCCCCGGCCGCCCCAGGCCCCAGCCCCAAAGCCGCGGTGCGGGCGGCGGGCGGGGCCCAGCCCCCTCCCGCCAGCGGGGCGGGTCCAGCCGGCGGCGGGGATGCGGCTCGGGCGCCTCAGCCCCAGACCGAAGCGCCGACGCTGGCCCCGCTCGCGGGCTCCCGGCTGCGACCAGGTACAGGCGGCCGGGGCTGGGGCGGCGCCGCGGCCTCCCCCTTCCGTCGCCCCCTTTCGCTCGCGGCCGCCGCGTCCTCCGTGCTGCGACCGGGGCAGCTCCGTCCCTGCGGGCGTGAGAAGCGCGCGGAAGTCGCGGGGCAGCCCCGCGGCGGCGCTTGCGGGGCGCCGCTGGGCCCGGGCCGGTCCCGGACGGCCTCGCCGCCGCGGCTCGGGGCGCTGCGCAGGCCTTGTCCGGGGAGCTCCGACGGCGGGCCGGGGGCGCGCGGGGGCCTGGCCGCTGCGCCGGGGGGGCGGGGACGCAGCCAGGTCGCGGCGTGGGCGCGATGCGCTCTGCCTGGGGGCGGGGCCCGGGCGGCTGCGGAGGCGCGGGGACGCGTCCCGTGGCGAGGAGCGGGGCTCTCCGCGCGCTGCAAGCAGCGAGCTTTGGGACGTGCACGCGGAGACGGCGGTGACCGCGCTGCCTCTGCGGTTGCCCCAGGTCAGCTGTAAGCGCAAGTGGTTCCAGTTAGCTCCAGGCATCTTCCATGTTAAACAGCACGGCAGCCTGTAGTGACCTCTGGGTCTGTAGCATACCAGGCGTTCTTATTTGCCGTCGGACTCGCAGGCCCTGAGAATGCTGTAGACTATGCAGTGTTTACTCCCGGGTTAGTAGAGCAAAGGATAATTTGTACAGGAATCGGCCAGGCAGGTTTTGTTTGTTTATTTTTTATTTTTTATTTTTTTTTTCCCTTGTGAACAATAGCAACTGTGATAATAGAGTACGATACTTAAACTTAGATTTTCAAAGACAGGTAACACCCTTAGTCCTTTAGTAAGCCTAAGTATCTTATTAGGTGCCTTAGTTCTTGTATCTAACTCTCACTTGAAATCAAGATCTGGTATTCACAGAATCACAGAATTTCTAGGTTGGAAGAGACCTCAAGATCATCGAGTCCAACCTCTGACGTAACACAAACAGTCCCACTAAACCATAGCCCTAAGCTCTACATCTAAACGTGTTTTAAAGACTTCCAGGGATGGTGACTCAACCACTTCCCTGGGCAGCCTGTTCCAATGCCTAAAAACCCTTTCGGTAAAGAAGTTCTTCCTAACATCCAACCTAAAACTCCCCTGGTGCAACTTTAGCCCATTCCCCCTCGTTTTCTTTCCAGAGATAAATTCTGTCCACTTACATGTACTTCTGTTGTTACAACACAATTCCTTTGACTTTCCCTCCCTGTTAGTGTTAACTGTATCTACTGTAAAAGCACCTTCAAATGAAGGTCTGGATTTTGAAGAAGGACTTGGCTTAGGTAGACATTTCAAGTGCTCTAATGAAGAACATGTATTCTCTAGGAAAAGCTAATAAAAAAAGTGCTGCTGGCATGATAGAATTGGAAAAGATGATGTGAGGAAAGATACAGTTGTGTAATATTCTGTCTATAAGAAAAGGAGCATATTCATAAACACTGAAGTGGAACACAGTAGCAAGGTTAGAAACATTAGTTAAGTCCAGCTGGGATCAGTAGTGGTGTACCACAAACTTTCCCCAAAGATGAGGGCTCATGTTAAACACCTATGCTTTAGAAGGCAGCTTTACTTTCTACTTCACCAAAACATAGTGGAATTTTACAGTTTTAATGTTGAGAGTAAGCACAAAGGAAGACCATCTAAAATGCTTTCAGTCTAATGGAGGCAGAATTCTGCATGAAAAAAAAATAATGAACAGACTGCAAGAGCCCATTCTAAAACTTCTGAGCCACTCAGGGATCATAGACTGCTAAACGTCCTTTAAGGAACCTGGTATTCTTGTTGGGTCCCTGGGATAAAGCATTTTGTGAAGGTGAACTCTGGCTTCTCTAGATGGGTAGCAAAAGCCTATCAACAACTTCAGCTTTCAAGAGGATTTAGTAGTCAGAGGCCTCACGGTGTGCTTCAGCATCAGGACAAACTTCACACGCTATCCAAAGTAGTACATATTTTGGAAGCTAGTGTATCAGAAAAAGCTTTAATAACACAATTTAATGTGTGCTAAAGGAGCATCTTTTGAGAGGTGAACAGCCAGCCAAAAAAGCATCCTTCCTCTGTGAGAACTGTAAATATTTATAGTTTAACATTCTTAACGTGAGTGTCCAAGCTTGGATTTCATATTACATGTTAAATTTGTTAACATGAACTCTTATTTTCAGGGTTTTACCATATGCGACTTCACGCCTATAACTTTGAATGCTACCAGTTTTTTCCAGGCCAGGTATTATTTTTCAGTCTTCTTTGTTCTCAGTTCTACAACAGATTTTTAAATAAGATACATAGAATTCTCATCTATAACACATGGAGAGATGCAGCAGTAAAAAAGAAGAGTTGCAAAAGAGGATTTGAACTAGTCTGTTCAAACTAATTTTTAGCAAAAAGTTTAGCTCTACAGCTGAAAGACAACCACGTGGTCTTAATTTGCGCCCCCGCTTCTCCAGTAACCGTTGGTATTAACGCAGGAAAATGAATCGCATTTCACTTCCCTCGGGTGCCTAGAATTTTACGTAGAACAACATCACGGCTGTCCGGGATGTTCGGCGTTCAGTTCCGTGCCGGACCTGGAGGAGCTCCGGGCCTTCGCGTGCCAGTAGCGACAAAGCGTGCTCGGCACGGGGGCTCCGGCGGGCCGGCTGTCCTGCCCCCGCCCCTCCCCTCCCCTCCCCTCCCCTCCCCTCCCCTCCCCTCCCCTCTCCCCGGTTCTCACGGAGAGGCCGCGTGCGCGGCGCCTCTCGCTGAAGGGCGCGGGGGCCGCGGCATCTCCGCCGCCGCTGCCGCTCGTCCCGCGGCGCCCCAGCCGCCGTCTCCCAGGTAACGGCGCCTCCCTCGGAACGGCGGCGCGGGGCGGGCCGGGCCGGTCGCGCGCCGCCAATCCGCGCGCTGCAAGATGGCGGCTGCGGGAAGCGTGGCGCGGGGCGGCGGGCGGGCGCCGTAGGGCCGCGGCGGCTGGGCTCCCGCGGCGCCCCGCATGGATCCCGGCGGCAGCCAGCCGGACCCCGGCCTCTCGCAGCGGGGCACGCCCTGCCTGATCGTGGCGGACTCGCAGCCCGAGAGCGTGGGCCCGGAGGAGGACGCGGAGCAGGCCTGCCTCGGCGTGCTCGCCCGCCGGCTGCCGGTCCGAAGGAGCCCGAGCCCCGTGCTGGTGAGCGGCGGCCCGGCCCGGCTCGGTTCGGCCCGGCCCGGCCCTGACGCGACGCGTGCCCCTGTCTTGCAGGAGATCGTCCGCGGCCCTGCCGGCGGCCGGGCGCCCGCGGGCGGCGGGGCGGACAGGGAGCGACCCGCAGGTGAGAGCGGGGCGCGGGGGCGCGCCGTGCTTGCGGAGCCGATGGAGAGCCCTGCCCGCCCGGACGCTGCCGGCCCGCGCAGCCGCGTCGCTGAGGAGGCGCCGCCGCCCGGCGGGGAGAGCAGGTGGGCGCCGGGCGAGGCGAGGCGAGGCGCGCTCCCTCGCGGGGCTCTCGCCCGATGAAATGGCGGCCGCGCGCCGTGAGCGGCCTGCGGCACGGGCGGCGGCAGCGGGGTCCGCGGGGGCTCCGGCGCCGCAGCCGCGCGGGGCCTGGCTCCGTGCCGGGCTGCGCCCCTCGGCGGGCTCGGGAGCCGCCGGGCTCGTTGCCGCCGTGAAGCAGCTCCTTGGAGCACCAGCGGCCTGTCGGAAGGCAGCCCGCAGGAACCCCCGAGGTGAGTAGGTCTTTCTGTTGCAGTGCCTCTGTAAAGACTGAAGAAAGAGTTGGAAGCGATGTTGAGGACTGTCCTACCTCGCCATGTGTAGAAGGTATCTTCTCCGCCTCAGGTCTGTGGGTGGTGAATCTGATCAATCTTCTGTGTAGCGTTTAGTTCTGTTTCCTCACTTGTCCCACCAGGGTAGTCATGCCTGCAATAATTGGTCAGAAATTGGCATCTTTTTCCATTGCATCTTACTGGTATCTTTTTCCATTGGCATCTGGTCTGCATGCTTTGGAGCTTGAAAATCCGTGAGGACTTAATATCATCGTTACCAAGGATTTTGGAGACAAGGGATGGCTTAGAATATGCGTGGTGACCACTAGGAGATGGAGCCGTTTTATGGCAGAGGAAATAACTGGCATAATGGTTGTCATCAAAGGACTTTCAGGGACAGAGTCTATATTATCAGGATTGTCTTCTGGTATCCAAATATACATTAGTACCCAATGGCATTGTATAAGACTTTGCTAGTTAACACTGGCTTTAGATGTAATGGTCGCTGTCCCTGTACTATTACTATAGTTTTAATTGGTACAGCTGAATTGAGAGTCTGTTAGTTTATTTGGGGCTTTGGCAGTATCTTAGTGTATCTTTTGTCATGGCAAAAATGGCTTTTTTTTTTTTTTGGTACATATATTACTTATGGATGTTTGATGTTAGATACAGGCATGTCACAGCTGCCTTTTGGAGCTCTAGAGCTCTCACAGAGCCAGGACTTTGAGAGTGACTTTGTGCCCAATGAAGAAGATGCTAGGCATCAGTTTCGCTCTGGAGCTGCTATCCCATCTTCTTCCAGACCTTCAAAGAGTGATTCTAAAGATGGTATGTGAAAATGATCTTAGATGTGTTTTTGTTGGTCTGTAGCTTTTTTTTTTTTTAAACTAATAGATGTTACGATTCTCTGAATACCATATTGGTAGTGTGCAACAATGAATTCACAGTTCTTAGTTGAATAGAATTTTGTCTTGTCTTTACCTTGGGCTAGTTTATTTGTTTGCTTCTTGCTTCCTAAATGTTGTCACTGATTCTGGAACCTGTCTTTACGAATTTGTTTCTAGAACATTCAGACAATCAGATACTGACTTCCGTGCCTGGCAGAAACCTCCCATGCCTGGCAGAAACCTCATTCCATCCTTTTTTTTGTTCTATTGATAGTTCAATGCTAAAGCTTTTTCGTATAAAATTTGTCTTATATATACATACATAACTTAGAGAGCTACACGTGTTCTCTGTATTAGTCCAGTTGACCTCTGAGTGACAAATGTTCTTTGTTTTTTTTTCTTTACCTTGCTAGAACTGAACGTGCATAACAGGCAAATTGTCTCAGGCATAGAAACGCATGTTGCTTTGGAGAGCCAGCCAGAGGAGTTTGAAAGGTAAAACAATCCCTGTTCTTTGTATTTCTCTTGCTGAAATTCCAGAAGTTGTTTTGTGTGTGTTTTTTGACTTCTGATTTTTTTTTTCACTTTTCTGACTGGTATATAGAAGTGCATAGCTTGAATCTATTCCAGTAAATTTACTTTACAGTTTTGCAGTTGATATGTTGAGTTTCTCAGGTCAGTGACTGTGTCTTACTTTCCCAGAGCTCTGCAGGAAGGGGAACAGGATACCACGAAAGAAATGCCTGTCTCTGATCCATTTAAAAGTGAGAAATCCGCTGGCATTTGTCATGAGGAGTTGGATATCTTGTCAACTCAGGAAGAGATGTTTCCCGAGAATAATGTAACAGGTAACAATAGACAAATAGAGCAAAAATGTCCATCCCAGAGGACATCATAATCATTCCTGCTTGATATTTTTAGTTGTGTAGTGTTTAGGGTGTGGAGTGCTGTGAGTACTTTTCACATACTTTCAAATAAAATTGAGAACACTTTGGAAATGAAAGGCCACAACTTTCACTGGAGTGTGGAGCAGTGTCTAAATGTCACTTCTTGATAGAACAGTGACAGTTGCTTGTTAAATATGTTTCCTTTCCTTTCTCGTCTCCCTTGAAGAACAAAAGTAATAATAATAAAAAGATCTTCTGAAACTGGTAATAATGATGCTCATGCCTTGTAGTGACACACAATCTAAAGTGTGGTTAAATACTGTAGGCAAATGTTGTAGGCTTCCTTATGTTGGGTAACTTGGGCAAAACATAGAAAAAGCCTTCAGAGTCATCAAGTCCGATCATCAACCTGACCTGTTGAGTCCCATCACTAGACCATGTCCCTTAATGTCATGTCCACATGTCTTGTAAGTACCTCCAGGGACAAGAACTCCACCGCTTCCCTGGACAGGCCATTCCAAGGCTCGATCACTCTTTATGAAGAAATTCTTCCTAATACCCAATCTAAACCTCCCTGGTGCAACCTGAGGCCATTTCCTCATGTCTGATCACTTGTTCCCTGATAGAAGAGACTGACGCACACTTCACTACAGTCTCCTTTCAGTTAGTTGTAGAGAGTGATGTGGTCTCTGCTCATCCCTCCTTTTATCCAGGCTAAACAACGCTAGTTCCTTCAGTTGTTACTCATAAGCATTGTTTTCTCTAGTCCCTTCACCAGCTTTGTTGCTGTTCTCTGTACATGCTCTAGCAACTCAATATCCTTCTTGTAGTTTCCACCTTACTCCTTCGCATCATTGGTGTTCCTGTTTGGGATAGGACAGTACCCTGCAACCAAAATGTTACTGTGATTTCAGTCGATCTTACTTGCCACCTAGGTTAGTGTTCATTTCCTGAAAGAGAAGAGATTATGAAATTGCATCAGGAAAGAGGTCATCACTGTATTGTCATGGTAGGAGGATGTCTAGGTTTGGTTTTGGTATCCATAATTAAAAGGTTCGAGAAGAAGTAGTAGGGTTCTTAGCAATGCTGATAGTTATAGGTCTAGAAAATAAAAGTTTTGACAGGGAAGCTTGTCACAGTCTACAAAGCACGTACTAAATTAAGTCTCACTTAGTGGTTTTTGTTTAGCTTTAATTTGCGTACAACTGTGATTATGCTAGTATGTTTTCATGTGTGAACCCCTTGTACCCGGAAGGTTCAGTAACCGCTTACGGAAATTGAATCTCTGGTCAATGTGATGTCTTTGAAGGAGGGGGGGTAATTTTGGAGCCATTGGGGATTTTTCTTTTTTAATTACCAAGTACAAAGATATGTACATTCTGGTCTGAAAAAAAAATTATTCTGTAGTTATAAACTACCTTTATCGTCTGAACTGTATGATGTTCACATTTCACATGCTGGACTTCTACATGCTGTCCTTCTCCACCTTTGTGTGAAAAAGGCAGACAAGGATAGGCTGTGACTTTACAGTAAGGTGTACGTCATCCATCAAAACTTTCTGATCAACTTGTTTAATGGCCAGATTTCTAATCCTACTTCCTTTTGTTCAAAATTGTTTCAGGGAATGGCTGTCCTGTAACCAGGGTGGAAGAGGGAAGTTCTCTGGCATGCACCCCTGCCCGCAGTCTGCACCTCCTGCAGCTCTCTGGACAGGGATCTCTTGTACAGCAGAGTCATTCCACGTAAGCAAAAAAAAAAAAAAAAAGACCCCCAAAACCACAAAACTATGTTGTAGTAGCTTCTGTACCATTTCCACCATTCTTTCTTTTATTCAAGGACTGCTAATGCTATCTGTTTACCTTAATTTGTGCAACAAAAGCAAGTTAAGCTAGTTTGGACTCCATGTCACCTGTTTGTGTTTGTACCTTGCAATTTGGAGCTGGCACATAGTTAAATAGAGTTCTCAAGTTTCCGTGCACATGATTTGATCAGGTATTACAGATTATAACGTGTAGTTCTATAGTTAAAAATTACAGTGTCAGTTATAGGATAGAAAATTTTATGGTTAATAAGCAGATCTTACAGAGAAGGTATGTTTGAGAGGGCATTATGCGCAAAAGGAATGAACTCTGTTTTTTAAAGGTCATCACTGTAGTTCTGGTCTAGTGAATGATAGTGCATTTTTATTGTTAGAACTCTGAGATCTTCACTTTCGACTGTGAATGTGTGTGGCATAAGGAAATTGGGTGGAAGCACTTAGGAGAGCATGTAATCTAGGAGAGAGTGTTCACATCTTGCTACTGTGGTGTCCTCGATTAATGTTCACTGAATAAAGGTGTATGTATAGCTGAATATAGAATGAAGTTGCGGCTTCTAGCTTGTAACCCCGGGGCAACTCTTGAAAAGAGCTCTTTGCTTAACTGTTTTGCCTCAACAAGATTCCTGCTGGGGTTATCAGCTCTATTCCAGCACCAGCTATCTGTTGGTAATTCTTTCTTTGACTTACCCTGTTGTGATGACTTTTCTTTTTTTTTAAATGATACCGGATATTATGTACGTTCTTCTGCCTTTGACTTTTTGCCCTGCTCTGCTGTCTCACAGTTGGTGCTGGCTCTTTCTCTGTTGTCTACTCCCTCTTCTTGCATGTGCATGGTCTTAGGCGGAAGTTGTCAAAGCAGAAAGCAGTTCAGCTTGTGTTCTAGCAAGGTCTCTGTGACCTTTGAACCTAAATTGCTGATTGTTCTTTTGAGAACACCGGCCAAAATTCTCTTCTTCATGTTCAGTGTGGTGTTCCCACGCTTCCTCCCCACACAGCACACCAACAATGGAAGCCTGAAGATTTTTCCTTTCTCTCTACTCCCCCTCCCCGGAGGATCCTCACTTTCCAGTTTCCCCGTCACACACATTATCAGTGTATGTTTGTCTTTCCTATCTTAAAACCATGCCCTTGACACTTGCACTTTCTTAGCTACTGCACTATTTATCTCTAAGTTGACTGAATACACTGTAGCAATTATCTGTAATTATCTCTTTCATACTGTACAATGTGGAGAGCAAGGAGGTGCTCTCAAAATAACCGCATTAGATGACCAGGCCATGGCTGACATGTTAACTAGTGCTGTTGCAGGCAGTGATAGAGTCTAGTCTCCTCAATTTCTCATTAAGTTTGTGTTGTCAGGTGACTTTCTAATCATCATTTCCTAGCCAGAGCTCAAATAAGTGCTTTGTCTTCCTCAATTATAGTATAGAATCATAGAATATCCTGAGTTGAAAGGGACCCACAAAGATCATTGAGTCTAACTCCTGGTTCCACTCAGGACCATCCAAAAATCAAACCCTGTGTCTGAGATTGTCCAAATGCCTCTTGAACTCTGGCAGGCTTGGTGCTGTGACCGCCTCCCTGTGGAGCCTGTTCCAGTGCCTGACCAACCTCTTAGTGGTGAGGTTCCTCTCTTTCTGAGTAGCCTTTTCCTGATACCCAGCCTGAACCTCTCCTGGTGCAGCTTCATGTTGTTCCCTCGAGTCTTACTGTTGGTCACCAGAGAGAGCAGATTAGCACCTGGCTGCCCTTCTGTATCCTTTTGTGAAGAAGTTGTAGGCTGCAATGAGGTTGCCCCTCAGTATCTTCTTCTCTAAGCTGAGCAAACCAAGTGATCTCAGCTGCTCCTCATGTCTTCCCCTCAAGACCAACCACAATTTTTGTTGCCCTCCTTTGGACACTGTCTAATAGTTTTATGACCTCCTTATGTTGTGGCGCCCAAGCTTGCACACAGTACTTGAGGCTACACCAGAGCGGAGCGAGACAGTCAATTTTCTCGACCAGCTAGCAATGCTGGGCTTGTTGGTCCTTTTGGCTGCCAGGACACACCATTGAGTCATACTCAACTTACCATCAACCAAAACCCCTAGACCTCTTTCCCTGAGGCTGCTCTCCAGCCTCTTGTCTTCCAGTCAGTATGTATATCCAGGGTTGGCCCATCCCAGCTGCAGAATCCAGCGCCTGCTCTTGTTGAACTTCATGTGGTTGATGATTGTCTAGGCCTCTAATTTGTCAAGATCTCTCTGCAAGGCTTCTCTACCCTCAAGGGAGTCAATAGCTCCTCCTAATTTAATATCATCTGCAAATGTACTTAGTATACCTTTGAGTCCTGCATCCAGATTGTTTATAAAAACATTAAAGAAAACTGGCCCCAAAATGAAGCCCTGGAGAATCCCACTAGTGACTGGCTGCCAGCCTGATGTAACTCCGTTTACTATAGCCATTTGAGCTTGACCAGTCAGCCGATTTTTCACCCATCGTATTATGCATTTATCTGGCTGTATGCTTGAGTTTCTTGTCCAGAAGGATTCTGTGAGAAACAATATTGTTAGCTTTGCTGAAATCCAAAAGGATTACATCAAGTGCCTTCCCTTGCTCAACGAGGTGGGCAATGTTGTCATAAAAGGAAATTAAATAAATTAAGCATGACTTTGCCCTTGTGAATCCATGTTGGCCATGACCAGTGGCTGCATTGTCCTTCGTGTGTTTTTCAATAACTCCCAGAGTATTTTTTCCATTGGTTTACCAGGCACTGAAGTGAGACTGACAGGCCTGTGATTACCAGGTCTTCTTTCTTGCCCTTCTTAAACGGACCACCCTTCTTAAAACTGGGACAGCATTTGCCAGCTTCCAGTCAACAGGGATATCAACTAATAATGCCTGTGTGGTCAATGATGATTTCTCAGGTCTTTATATATTTATATATATATAAAGCACCTATCACCATATTGATAAACATTCTTTGGATCCACTTTGATGGCAAGGGTAAGAACAGGAGTTGGCCTGTTAAATACCTCAGCATTTCTGTTTTCAAACAATTAAACAAACAAACAAACAAGACTTTGCTAGAGAATACCTGACATGCTCTTGTGAGAAGACTCCTAATGTGACAAGCTGGATCTACATTTGAGAAGTTAAGCAATTTTCTAGTGATATATGTTCTTTTTCCATGTTACCTTTTTCTGCAGTGGCTCTTCAGGCCTAGTCGTTCCATCTCCTGTTGCCTTTGGATCCAGTGCTCTCGTCCCTAGCAGCCCTACTGAACAGGAGCAAGCAAAAGGTAAAGTCTTCCGCATACTCACCTGTGGTTGTTTCTGTACTTCGTGGTTTAGCCTGAGCCTTTAGCCTTTTCGAAACTTGTTTAAATTACACTTAAAGTGTAAAGTGGGATTGAGAATGCTGAAAGAGGTAGATGCAGGGAGATCTGTATTTGTAATTCAGATCCCAGTATGCTGTCAATATTTCCTGCATAGCTATCATGATAAAATTTCCTTCACATGAAAGATGAGGAAAACTTCATGTGGAAAAGAGAGTGCTTCTTGCCATTGTCCTTCTTTCTTAGGGGCAAGCCATTCTTTTGCTACAGGTAGGTATGGCTTAAATATATGCAGTTAGGGCAGTAGGAAAGAGAACTGGGTCATAAAAGTCATCTTACCCTAAGTGAAATGGCTAATACAATATTTTAAAAAGCTTTTATATGTTACATGTATGTATTCTAGAAGGTCATATCAAAAGACAGCTTGTTCTGTATACCTTGGTTCTTGCACATTTTCTCTAAGTACCCATTCGCTGTCAGGGTTAACATATCCATGAAATTCTAGTACAAATCACCATTCCTTTCTGCGAGATTGCCATCTCATTTGCTGCACAAAATCTGAAGTACCTTTAGAATAGATGTGTAGTTAGTGGGGTCTGAATTTGGTTGCGTTGTAATAGAAATAGCAAAACAAAAACCAAAAACCTGTCCTCAGAGAATGATTTGTATAAATTTTAGACACTTATTTCTAATTGTAGAAATTGTAGACCTGTGGTAGCAAAATAGTTATGAACTCTCCCCAACCCTTCACCCTGTTCATTTAAAGATACAGATAATTGTGTTAATTTTGTTTGTTTGTTTATTTATTTATCCCCACTCCTCCCTCCCCCCCCAAGATTTCAGGTTCACCCATTGAAGTATGAGAGAGTTGCATAAACCACTGCAGATAAAAATCTCTTAATGGAATGTTGGAAAGTAGGTACAACATAGAGATCTGCTAGTAATTTATTTTCTGCTCTTTCCATCCAGATGAACAGATGGATATCTCTATCCCATCACAAGAAAGAGAGCTGATGCAGGAGGAGCAGCAGAGGGGAGAGGCGCTAGTGGAAATAGCTATCCCATGTATCCCACCAGGACCTTCTGTCCTCCCACAGGCTTCAACTCCAGTGTCCCAGAGTGCCCCAGCCTTCTTTCCTGCATCTTTACCTATACCATCACAACCAGAGTTCTCTCATGTGAGGGTTCATGTAAATATCTATCCCGACTTTTTTTTTTTGTGGGGGTATTGCAGAAAATGCATTTTTGAGCCAACCTCTGTGCTTCTGTGTGGGGCTTCCCTACTAAACTGATTGTCATGAGCTTCTCTGTTCCTACCAGTCACGGTTATATGTTGATGATATTTCTCTATATGTGTGGCAGTTTATCCTGCAGAGAAAATACAGAACAGCTTAAGAGGGCATAGAGAGTTACTGAATGTAGATTTTTTTGTCTTTTATTCTACACTAAAAACTTTGCTTGTGCTTTTTTTTTTCTTCCTTTCTTTGAAAGGCTTCTACTTTCTCATGCTGAACCAGGCATTCTGCATCTCAAACTGCGTCAGAAACTAGACTTCTACAAGGATAGATTTAATCGTTATTTGTCACGGAGAAGGCTTGAACAAGGCTTGATCTCGCTTAGCGCAAATTTCTTTTAAGTTGCTTATTCTTACCATCTGTTGTTTGCTTTTTGATTCTGGAAGTTAATATTGTTCAAAGGGATTTAACAGACACTTGGTGACTTTATAGCTCAATATAACAAATTTAATTAAATTAAGGCAGAAAATACAGGTTGAAGTAGACTTCAGTAGTTGAGGCAGAGTTTTTCCTTATCTGAAAGTGGTCTTCATGCTAATATAACTATTATAGAGAATCTTTCCAGAACCCTTGTTTGACTGAGAACAGCTACTGATTTGCCATACTTGCCCTGTACTTCATGATTTGGTAGTAGGAAAGGTGAGCCAAGGATCATGTCTGACTGGCAGAAGTACTGAAAAGTAATGAATGATGATAATTTCTTGTAGCAAGAATGTGGCAGTTAACACTCATTTAAATGGATAAAAAAAAAAAAAAACAACCAACCAACCAAACAAAACTTTGTTTTAATCCATAGGTTTGTTCTGAGCTTGCTCTGCTCTGTAATCTAGCATCATCATCTGGAAATAATAAACAGCCCAATTTGGGATAACCTGATGTTCAGTATGCCACTTTTTTCATTTTAGGATATTTTTGTTCCAACTCAGAGCCCAGAGAAGAGACATGAAGGAGAAGAAAAAACTGTTGCTTTAACCTGTTCGTGCTTACCAGGAAACCTCTCTGGAACCACAGATGTTTTGTCAAAGGTGCCTATAGGGGACTCTGTGCCACAGCCTTCGGAGTCGTGTAGTCTGATCCTTTCTGTAAGTGAATGTAGCGAGTCTACAAAAGCAGAAATCAGTTCAGGCTCTCTGAAAACTAGCCAAGATAGTGAAACTTTACGGGTACAGAAGGTTCCTGAATGCAAGGCCTCAGACTTGAGCCTTTGTGCTGTGGAGAATGACAACACAAAACTGAGACTGGATGCAGGCCATCAAGCCCTCTCTGAGAACTGTGAAAAAGCAAAAAAAGAGGGTATAAAAACTGCAGGAAAGCCTGTAATGCAGTTAGTTAATGCAGGTGAAGCAGGAAATGAGTCACTAGCCCTTACAGCTCATCAGGATCATGGGTGTATTTCTGGAAGTCAAGCTGCTGAACATCAGTCTGGTCAGCCTGCGATTTTGTCCTGTACTCAGGGCAGAGAAGCACAGTCTGAGGGTTATCCATTGGAAGAGAGTTCTGAACCTGAGGCAGTTCCTGAGACTCAATGTGAAGAACAAGAAGAAAAGCTGCAAGTAGAAGAGAAGCAAATAAACAAAGATGAGTCTATTGTTAACATAGCCCTTTCTCAGAGGTTTATCCTTGAAAGGGAAGTACAGAGTCATGAAGACATGGAAGTGGATTTTGCTGGTGGCTCTGGTAAAAATAGCAAAAAATTGTCTGGTCATACTGAAGAATTAGGAAAGGTTGGACCAGAATGCTGTGTAAAAGAAACTTTACAAGACTGTACTTCTGGCATTGGAGAGGCAAAGAACATGGATAAACTGTCCTCTAAAGCTACTTCAGAAAACATGCCAAAACTCAGTAAAGTTTTATCTAAGCCTTCTGTAGGGGTGTTAATGGAACAGCATAACAATTTGTTTCCTAGATTAAAGACTGACATTCCATCAGAAGTGGCATTGTGTGTGAAAAGCCACCCAGATGGTTCAGAATTAGACCAGGCAATGAAAATGGAGAATCACACACCACTGCAGGAGAAGGGGGTTGACGTGCTTGTGGCTCAGCAGGAGAATTGTATACAGAAGAGTACAGAGGATACTGCTATGACAAGGAATCTGGAGCAAGAAGAGAAGATGCAGCCACAGGAGAGGGTAGCTGCTAAGTCTCCCAGTCCTTCCAATGGTAAGTGAATTTAGGTTAGTAGTTCGTAAGTGTGTATACTTTGAATAATGTCAAGGGGGCTGTGTACAGTCCTCAGAGTTTTTGGGAAGCGCTGGTTCTGAATGGATGTTGAACAGCCTATCTTGAGAGCCGAAGTGAAAGTTACTGTTAACGTGTGTAAGGTGCTGTTCCCTTTTTCACCATTGCAGCACTGCTGCAGGCAAGAGTGATGAAAAGTAATTCATACTCCTAATACCCCCTTGCTGTTTTATGGTAGAAACTCTGAGCAACTTTGAAAACTTGGAATGTTCTGACCTTGGCAGTGCTGATGGATTTCTGTATTTTTTTTTCTTTTTTTTTTTTTTTCCTGAAGCAACAATGGTAGTGTCCTTGAAAGGAAAAGGGTCTGTGGTAGTCTATACTTCCCTTTTAGGTGTCCTTACTGTTTGTTTGTTTGTTTATTTATTTTCTCCTTTCATTCTCAGGGGAGGATTTTCTTTGTGGAGACATACAGAGCAGCTTTAAGCGAGACATTAATATAGCAAATCTATCTTGAGTAATTTGAAGTTGAATGCTTTTTACTTTCACATAAGCTGTTCTTCAGTAGGCATTGTCATGAAGCAAAGTAAAAACTGACAGAAGTTTAACCTATTTTGCACGTATCCTTTTGTATCCCCACCTCCCCCCCCTTTTTTTTTTTTTAAATCTGGGACAAGATTTTTTGAAGTGAGATAGAATAAGGAACAGTTCTGTCTGAAGCTTAACCAACAACAGATTGAAAAGTGTTGTGTTTTTTTTTTTTTTTTTTCTTTAAATTGTTTTGCCATGCAGCTCTGCATAATTACTGGTCAAGGATGGGAAATAAGTGTCTGGAAACAATGAAAGGGAGCAACCCCAACAATGCTGCCTTAAAGTGTTTGCCTGAATAGAGCCATGAACTCTTTATAATGTTACCGTGGTTTCATTTCAGTGTTGCAACCTCTTTAACTTGCTGTTGTGTAGTTAAGGAATCTGGAACGCTGTACCTGAGTTTTGTGGAGATTTTGCCTCTTCGTTGGCTCTGTTTTAAAGCAGTTCTGTTCTCCTCAAATGATAATAGATAAAATAATAGAAGACAGTGTTTTAGTTGGTATTAAGTCATACACATTTTTGTGATGTAACTTTTCATTATAAACTGCAGGATCAGAGAGAAGGAGAGGAGAGTTTTCCCCATCTTGTGATGGCAGTAGGTAACTTCCTGTCTCCTGAAGTTGGTGACTAAAAGCTGAGTGTGTGGAAACATTAGTTCTCAATAGGTGATTGTTATCTTTACATCTGAGCAGACCAGTATGTTAGTTTATGTTTACTTAAGTCTCTACACTGATTTGGGTAGTTCATGCTCTGAATTACCTAAGTCATTCAATTATAGTACAGAAGAAGATTAATATAATTGCGGAGTGCTATTTAAATTAAATGAGATGTTCAACAGGGAAGATGTTTATGAACCACCCGGTAGATTCAGATTGACCAGTCTGTGATCTTGTTTTACGGAACCTATACAACCATGGACTAGATTTGAATCACTCCTAGCACTTGAAGGTTGTGGTATTGTAGTATTGTCCTATAGTCTGTTCTTCAGAGCTTTGTTCAATGTTTTCTTGTTTTTATTTTGAGAAATTAGTTTAAGATATACAGCTCAAACATATTTCCTAATGTTCAGTCTTATTTTTCCCTTTATGGACTCAGAGCTGATAACTGGTCTGAGCAATTTTCTATTCTTTATCACCGAGAGATCTATTCTTTGTCGGTGGGGGATATCTCACTTATGTCCTCTGCCAACTTATGGTTTGTTTTTTATCAAGACCTGTATATTTCTTCAAAACTTCTCTGATCAGTCTCACTAGTCCAATATTTTTTGCTATTTTCTGAACTACTTGTTTACTCTTCCCACTTATGAACTGATCCTGCCATTTATGACAGCTTTGGCTGTTTCTTCTTGATAGCTTTTTGAGTGCATTCTTATATGCTTCCCTCCCCTTTTCTTCAGTTCTTGTGACCTTGAACCGTGCTGACTTCTGGAACATGTGATCCTGTTCGGAAAGGTCAGAATGGCAGATTTCAGAAAGGAACAAGATGAAGAGCTTTCTTCTTTATGTCTGAGCAGACGTAGGTGAGATGACTTTGAAGTGCTAGATGGAGATTCGGATGAAAAGGGATTGAGTGTAATACTTGTGTGCTTTTAATAACAAATTTTCTGACAAGCTTGGAAAATACCCCCCAAAAAGCTGTTTAATAGTATGGAACTGTCTGGCAACAAAAACTTGAGATACTCAAAAATAGGATGAAGGTATTTTGCGTTGTAAGCTACAAATGACAGGTAAATATTCATATCTGTAGAAGTTGGATTACAGTGCGGTAGAGAAGAGAGATTTGAATGCTTATGTATGTCATCAGTTTTGGAGAGATTTCCAGCAAAGGACAGTAGCATTTTTCAAGCTGGACTTTACTATTAATATCTGTTGACCTATTTTAAAGCAAAATAAAGCTTAAATTACTTTCAAGCCGCATGCAGCCTTGTGGCCATAGCTTTTTAATATCACTGACATCTGAGAAACACTTCTACCGTGATTGCTTTATTTTGAGCTAAGTATATGTTTAGTCATACAAAAATTGCCTTGCTTTAGGGGGTTCTGATCTCTTTGCTTAGATTTAAAAACTCCACTTTCTCAATAATGAACTCATATGAATCAGTCTGTATTTTTGAGCACTGTTTAGTATGCCAGCTATCATACCAATTTAACTGATGTAACCTTTGCACCCATTCTTCTGAATGCGGTTTCACCAATGAAGCATTTAAGTGTTTTTTGGTTTTGCTTTCTTTAACATCCCATAACTAGCGACAAACAGTTTCTTTCAGAATGTTATAACAAAATTCTGGCTGTTGCTGAACAAGAAAGGAGAGCGTTTCAGTTGACCAGAAATGCAATGATTTCATGTGTTTTCTGACTTAAGGTCTTTGTTTGCATGGGGAACCAAGCACTAAGCAAATGGCATGCTGGAGGCAATTTGGTAGCATTTGTTTTGTCAACTGAGACAGTAGTGTCATCAGTTTCAGATTTAGGTTATGTTGCTGGGGTACATCTGAATTCCACAAATTCTTGTACAAAGTTTGGGGGCTGCCACTTCAGTGAGATTTAGGGAAAGCTTTCACTATTGTTTAAAAGTGGTCTGATTTAATCATGATTCATTTTTTCAAATTAGGGGAAAAAAATACCATAGAATCATAGAATATCCCGAGGTGGAAGGGACCCGTAAGGATCATCAAGTCCAACTCCTGGCACCGCACAGGTCTGCCCAAAAGTTTAGACCATGTGACTAAGTGCACAGTCCAATCACTTCTTAAATTCAGACAGGCTTGGTGCAGTGACTGCCTCCCTGGGGAGCTTGTTCCTGTGTGCAATCAGTATCAGACTTTGGAGGCTCTTCACAAAATCTGCATTTCCAGGGTTTTAGATACTCTGTGGACCAATAATACCAGCCTCTTTGTTAGATTATTTTGTTGCCATTTAATGGTATGGATGTTCTATTTTTTTTTTTTTTTTTTTTTTTTTTTCCCTTTGGTCCTTCCCATTTAGGGGCTTGCAGTAAGCTCATTGTGCCCATGTAATAGCACTACACTAAAGACTGAAAATCACGTTCTCTGTGAACTGAGGAATTAACCAGTCAGAAGAGAATCAGTCTACTTTGGTATACAATTTCCCCCTGTATTTTCCCCAATATTGAATGGCAGATGCATATGGATGAATATAAGAGCAAAAATGTAGTGAGGAGATACTTCTCCAGAAGCCTCTGTTTCATCACTCAAAAATGTATGGTTTAGGAACTTTTTTTTTCTTGAATAGGTGTTCTTCTCTCCCTCCATGAAAATTCTCACTGTGTTTTTAACCTCTTTAAAGTTCTAGGCATCAAAGGTTCTTGCAATAGGAAGATTGACATCTTAAACTATATTCTGAGTTTTAAAAAAAATAATACCCCAACTGTCTTTATTTCACCAGGTATTAGTTTCATTTGATGACCCCTAATTCTGAAACCTTAAAAATCTGATAACTTCAATTTGTGTAGAATCCTGTATATGGCAAGAATGAAGGTACTTGATATCAGTATAGTAAAATCTATTTCCTTTCTATTAAGCCATTTTAGATATTAGGGAAGTGTAAAGATACAGAGGAGATCAAATATTATTTAACACGAAGGTGAGTGATGATGTTTTAGATACTGTGTTGTTAATTTCCTCTAACTGAAAGAAGGAAAATAACTTTTTACGTAGAAGATAATACATTTTTTAAAATTGAATTTAAAAAAAAAAGACTTTACTGTTAACAAGCATGGGGCATTTGCTATGCTGGGACTGGGTATCTCTGAAGATGATGTGGCATGGTCAAGAGAACAGTATAGGTCTTTGAATTAGACAAGAGTATTGGTTCTATTAAATAAACTGTTGGGCAGGACACTGCTGGAATGATGATAAAGACGAGTAACTATAATTGTATAATGAAGCTGAAAATTATATTCCACGTCTGTATGGGGTTTTATTGAGTTCACAATCCCCAGCTTCTTTTTCAAGAGAGCATGAGTAAAACTTCTTTTAGCTTGAGGTAATATTTCTCTTGCATATCATACTTAACACATCTTTTCTTAGATAAATCTAAATACAACTTAAAAACATCACATTTAGCTTGATTTACATTCCGAAGCGAGGTGTAAAATGAACCATGTTTGGAGAAAATTAACTTGAAAATCAATGCTTGTGGTTGTATCTTGCATATTTATATTACACTAAATAATAGAGTTGTCATAGAATCATAGAACAGCTTGGGTTGGAAGGAACATTAAAGATCATCTAGTTCCAACCTCCCTGCCATAGGCAAGGATGCCACCCACTAGGTCAGGTTGGCCAAGGCCCCATCCAGCCTGGCCTTGAACACTTTCAGGGATGGGGCATCCACAGCCTCTCTGGGCAACTTGTTCCAGTGCCCTCACTA